AATAAAACTTTTTTTGTGTATAAATATTACATATATTTTTTACTTTAATAGTGTTGACACTATTGACATACAATTTTTATACAAAATTTATATGCTATATAAATAAATATTAGTTTTTTATACCAAAAACTTTGTCAAAAGTATACATTTTATAAAAATTTTCCACAAAATATATTTATTTAAAATACTCGCTCGTAAACCATATATATAACCGGAAAATTTTCATATAAATATAGTTAATAAATAAAAGTTATTATTATTCACATGAATTACAATGACAAATAATGTCATTAATAAATCAAGCATTCATAATAAACATATCACATAAAATTAATCAAATAAATATAATATTCTGTATGCTTTCAAATTGATTTCAATATTTGCATTATAATACAAATTTCACAAAATTCAAAGAACTAGGTTTTCATAAAATTGATTTGAATTTAAAGTCAATGAATATACAAATGTTATTTCAAAGAAAATATTTTTTAATAAATATTTGTTTACCAAAAGAAAATATTAAATAAAAAGTTAGATATTAAAAAATATTTTATTATAATATATAAAATACATTTGATTATTATATAAATATAAACTTATTTATTACATAATTCTTGACAAATAATTATCAAATAAGATATACTGTATAATATTTTTAATTTATGTGTATTTAGCATAATATGCATTTATATTATAAATTTCAAAATATTTAAATTACTCTATTTTATATTAGAATTCATTACTATATTGTATGCAGTGTAAGTATAGTAAATTATATAATAAAAATACATAAACAGCATATCACTTATAACATGAATACACTACAGTATACAGTATATTATACAAAAATATATTAATAAACAAAACCCAAAAATATTTCATCACATTATGTGAGAGTAAAAAATCTTAGAGAGATATTACGAGACATGACTGAAATGTTTAATATAATTTTATTACGTGTAAAACTACAGGTCAGGGGAAAGGGTCACCACCACTAATAAATAGTATACTTTTGCTAACAGTCCGGCAAATTGATGGATAAAACAAAGGCATAACAGACGTGAATAAAAGTGTATATTTTTGTTAGTTTAAATTCATGTATGAAAAACACAACAAAAAGTTTACGATATTTTTTGGCTAAACCGGAGTTTACACCAATAGATAGCGAACTAATGGTTACACTATTGGGCGGAGAGAGAGAGAGAGAGAGAGAGAGCTATCGGTCAGACGTTTTTCTCAGACGGCTATTACTCTTATGATCCACACCTTCACCTATGGGTCTGTTGTGCTATCCTATGCCCTCCTAAACGCTATTCATTTCGTACATTAAACTAATTTTTCTCTTTCAGAAAACAGCAGAAAAAACTTTTTTCCACTATTTTTCTCATGTCATGTCTGTGTTGTGCTCTTTGAGGCTAAGGCGAGAGAGAGAGAGAGAGAGAGAGAGAGAGAGATTGTGTGGAGACAGTAGAGCTGATAGCATAAGATTAATGAATGGCAAAGACTTTGCGATACTATTGTGGATACCATTCCTTAACTAATAGGATGTGCTTTGCCTATGGTTTGTGTGTTGAGTGAAGTCTATGGTTTTGTTACATAATATAATCGCAGTTAATCTCAAGCCTAATAAACCATTTATAATTGCTTTTTAATGCATTTCGAGACCGCAATCATAATTGCTTTTCAATTAATGTTAATAAAATATTTAAGTCACATGTAAATTGTATTCAAATTATATTGACTATTATAACAAACACTGTAATGTATTGTACGGATCATTAATAACATTAAACTGTTATTGATTTTAGTTATCCATCAGACTATGAAATATATTTAAATTAAACTAATTAATTCATAATTTTCAAAAATCTTATCATGCATATAAATATCTCATTTAAATAATATAATAGTTTATATTCGTATTGAATTTTATTACTTTAATTAAGTTATTAAATGCGAAATAAAGATACAAAACATTACTTTAACAAAATTCAAAACCATATTATTATTACTAGTATTTTCATACAAATATCATATAATATGTGAATACAAGTCAAACTCATATGTAAATCTAGATTTTAAATACGATAAGGGTATGATAACTCAATTGTAATTACACTCAAAAACACAACTAAATTATGGCCATAATTGTTATTACAGGTGCCCTTAAAAAATTAAATTAAATTTTCATAAACAAATTAATAATATTTTTGTGTAACAAACTTTTGACAATTGTTTGCGCGTAACAAAACATTTAAGACATTTATTGCATCTAATTTTTCACTAAAAAATCAAATAAATCATCAGTTTTCTAGACATTGTATAGCAAACAACAAAAATATATAAATGCCTTAAGAATCGGAAATAATTTTCGCAAAACTATTTTTATGCAAATATTTGCCATAATAATCGCAATCATAATAATGACATTAAATCGCGTTAAGTGTAATACGAAAGGCAGTAAAAATAAAAATTTAAATTTCATTTTGAATTTTTATGGCTTAAAGAAAGTTCTCATAAAATGAAAGCTCAGAGACATTACTACACGAGTCCTAAACGAGTGACTATTTAAACATAAAAATCCTGCAAAACTTATTCATCAAACAAACAAAAATAGTGTACAATTATTTTCGAGAGAGAGAGAGAGAGAGAGAGAGAGAGAGAGAGACAATAAAACTAATGTGTATTTCCTTAAGAAATAATTTTACGAAAGGAAATAACAGCAACACTAACCAAACAATTCCTATTTATATCCATTAAAATATAACTTTTGTTTTAAAACCCCGAGTAAACCATTATTTTTTAGTAAACTCTGCCATTAGTGTACAATTAATAATGTATTTAATGCTATAATATTCTGTATATAGTGTATTGTATTGTATAACCCGTTATATAATGCCGAGAAAGTGGTGTATAATATGATGAGCTATTACATAAGCTGTATATTGTACTCATAATATGTCATATTTTATAAATTACTTCAAAACCTATTTTGCATTTAATTCAGACATAAGAACTTAATTATATAATTGTGTTTAACATTGACTTTGACTGAGTCTACACTTTATTATGTAATTCTAAACGTCATAATGGATTTCATTGGGTGATAAAGTTGTTAATCATAAATAACTTTTATATATTCAAGTAAACAATGTCATTTTAAAAAAATTTATTGTCTTTATAAAATTTATAAATTATATTAAAACTAGACCTTATATACAATATATTGGTTAGAGAAAGTTAATTAAATATAAATGTATGATTAACAATAAATGATATATTTAAGTGACCAATGTTTTAGAGTAGAGTATAAATCCAAATGATCAAAACCATTCAAAATAACTATTTTTGACTCTTAATTAGAAAATGTTAATTAAAATCCAATTTAGTTGACTGACACTCACTGGGAGTTCAATATATTTCTGACTTAATTAAAAGTCATTTGCTATACATTACGCCTTTGGGCACCACTAGTAAACACAAATACATTAAAAGCACTGGAATTACATAATAAACAATTTACTAAACAAATAATACAATTCTGTCTAATTAAGTATAATTTACAATTTTGTTTACCTTATATTCAATTAACGCTAAATATTTTTGCTAATTATATTGGTTTCAAAAATATAAATCATAAATAATTAAAAACTTTCTAATTCTCTACAAATAATTAACAGTGAATTTCTAGTCAAATGATAAGTTTGTGAAAATACTGACAATTTCTAATGAACTTATGATATAAATACATACTCTGACTGTTATAGCATATGTCTAGACATAGAAAATAATTAAATATTTTGGAAATTCTTATATAATATACGGAATATTGTGTTAACTTGAATCTCATACAATATTGAGTCTTAAATTTATAATAATTTGTTATAAAAACTTATTTTATAAATCAAAATCAAAAAGTAAATGCAAACTCATGTATAAAAGAATTAAAATCAAGAGAAATATTTACTTAACTATGAATTAATAAGTGATTTATAGATAAATCTAAAGGAAATTGAATGCAATGGGGAGTAGAAAATGTAGTCATATATCTATACAAATAGTGTATTCATTGCCTCATATCTACACACTATAGACATGAATATAATGGAAAAATTTTCTCAGAAAATTAATAATAAAAAATTCTCTCATAAATAGTTTGAATAAATAGAGAAATTTTTATTAAATATTTATGAATTTTGAACCAAATATTCCTAAAATACCAACATTTATACGATAAATGATTTCAAATCATACTTATTATATTAGTAACGCTCTCTACAGGATATTTTATACAGTTTATTTTATTAGCCGGCAAAATTTAAATTATATAATGAATGAATGTTGTATAAGTTATATACCGTAATATAACCAAGGCAAAATCCTTAATAGAATTAATTCCTAAATTTTACTCAAAAATATTTTAAATATAATTTAAATTAACATAATTAATATAAGTATGCTGCTAATTAATATAATTATGTTATTTATTATAAATCATTACTAATTACTGATATTTTTATAGCTACAAAAATTTATGCGAATTAATGCAGTGACAAACATGTTTAAATTAAAACACTTAATTAACTACTTAATTGTTTATTAACTGATTATTAATTACTCTCATGTATACTAATTAATGAAAATAATTAATACATTAATAAATAATTTAATAAAATAGTCAATTGCATGCAATAATCAATATTTATTTCATAACTACAGTATTAAGTGTTCAAATTAACAACAATTTCGCACAAGTATTATAAAAATGATTTAAAAACCAATGAATAATTNAATAATTAATACATTAATATATAATTTAATAAAATAGTCAATTGCATGCAATAATCAATATTTATTTCATAACTACAGTATTAAGTGTTCAAATTAACAACAATTTCGCACAAGTATTATAAAAATGATTTAAAAACCAATGAATAATTAAAATACAATATATTTAACACGAGTACGAGTGGACAGGTATGTGGGGGCGTATGTAGGGGTCAATTATTGGCCTCCTCGCAGGCGTCGACCCACTGGCAGTAGATGTCTATGGGTTGAGACAAATGAGTGATTTTCGTGGTATAGAACTCATCGCACTTCTGACATCTGATCCGAGCATTACTTGTGGCGATATCCGTGTCCACCAAACATGTCTTCTCCTGACCACAGAAAGGACAGTCGAACAGCTTCTCCATCGGAGAGACCGG